TAATATATACCGAGTGTTGGACCAGCTGTTAGTGTAATGGCTATGTCGCTGGACTCCCATGTAGCTGACCGCGGTTCGAGTCCTGGACCCAGTGGCTTAAACTCATGCCGGGTGCATATACGTGTGTGCCCAAGATCCCGAGATGAGAATGGAGGAGAAGGGATTGCAACGTGGCCATCCCTTCTGGGGGGATTTCTCACTTTCTATCTCTCTGTCTCTCTCTGTTGAGCACACGCCCTATAGCAAAAACCTCTCCAATAAAAGAAAATAATATATATACCGAGTGTCTGCACTCTATAACTGAAACTGATTGACCTAAGGTGGTACAAACACAAGAGATGGGGGTTAGTTCCAGAAGTGGAGTGTGTGGAGAAGAGGGACCTAAGGAAGGTCATTTGGAAGAGTGATACAGAGAGAAAGCATTGACGGAATGGGGAGGTGTGGTGTTATTGGTGGAAGATACTCTGATCAACTGGATGGGGAGAAATGTTCACACACATACTGAAATGTTCACTTTGTAAGCTAAATAATATGATTGAATTTATATAAAAAAATAAAATAAAAATGTGAAATAAAACTACAGCAACTGTCAATGTAAAAAGAAAAAAAAAGAGAAAGAGAGAGAGAAAATGAGAAATGACCCTCCAAGTGATGACCATGCCACAATTCTTTCTCCTCCCTTCTCCTCCTGGGATCTCAGGCACACACACACGTGTCCAGTGTGAGTTTCAAGCCACCAAATTTGGAACTCAAACCACGGTTGACCATATGGGAGTCCAGCGACATAATCACTACACCACCTGCTGCTCCCTATTCTATGCTTTTATGTAACTAACAGCGTAGTAGGCTTATTTAAATCAACATCACCACAAACACATGAGTAATTCATTGTACTATGATATTACAATGGCTATGATGTTACTAGGTGATAGAAATTTTTCAGATCTGTTATAATCTTATGAGACTACTGCCATATATGTAGTCCTTTGTTAACTGAAATGTTGTCATACCATTCATGACTGTAATTGTACTTCCAGAAGGATATAATAAAGAAAATGTGAGAGTAGAATTTTTAAAGACATGTCTAAGTGTTTTCCAGAATTGAAGAATCCTACTCCTCAGATTCAGGAAGTTCAACTAATCCCAAACATGATAAGTAAAAGTAATATGTAGACATATGAGTATAAAATTAATAGCAACAAAGATCTTAAAAAGAATAGTCAGAAAGAAAAGAAATATCAATTAGGCCGACAGCAGATTTCTTGGCTACAGTAGAAGCTAGAAGACAGTGGGTGGAATAGCTTCAGATTGCTGAGAGATAACAACAGGCAATGTATAATTTTATAGCCAGCCAAAGTGTCATCTAGGATTGAGCACCTCAAAACATTTTTAGACAAAAAGAAGGGTAAATTTACTGTAAATAGATTCTCACTAAAGAAAAGTATAAAGGAAGATAGAAAATGAACCCAGTATGAAGACTTGGGATGCAATGAACAAGAATGACTCAATGACTGGTAAATATGTGGTTAAATACAACTAAACATGATATATATATACAATAATAATAAAAACAACAGTAATAATAACAACAATTCAGGAACAAGAGATGGGTGTTAGTTACAGAAGTGGAGTTTGTGGAGAAGAGGGACCTAAGGAAGGTAATTTGGAAGAGGGATACGGAGAGAGAGCATTGACAGGATGGAGAGGTGTGGTGTTATTGGTGGAAGATACTCTGATCAACTGGACGGGGAGAAATGTTCACACACATACTGAAATGTTCACTTTGTAAGCTAAATAATATGATTGAATTTATATAAAAAATTAAAATAAAGTGAAAAAAACTACAGCAACTGTCAATGTAAAAAGAAAAAAAAAGAGAAAGAGAGAGAGAAAATGAGAAATGACCCTCCAAGTGATGACCATGCCACAATTCTTTCTCCTCCCTTCTCCTCCGGGGATCTCAGGCACGCACACACATGTGCCCAGTGTGAGTTTCAAGCCACCAAATTTGGAACTCAAACCACGGTTGACCATATGGGAGTCCAGCGACATAATCACTACACCACCTGTTGGTCTCTATTCTATGCTTTTTGTAACTAACAGCGTAGTAGGCCTATTTAAATCAACATCACCACAAACACATGAATAATTCATTGTACTATGAAATTACAATGACTATGATGTTACTAGGTGATAGAATTTTTCAGATCTGTTATAATCTTATGAGACTACTGCCATATATGTAGTCCTTTGTTAACTGAAATGTTGTCATACCGTTCATGACTGTAATTGTACTTCCAGAAGGATATAATAAAGAAAATGTGAGAGTAGAATTTTTAAAGACATGTCTAAGTGTTTTCCAGAATTGAAGAATCCTACTCCTCAGATTCAGGAAGTTCAACTAATCCCAAACATGATAAATAAAAGTAATATGTAGATGTATGTGGTAAAATTAATAGCAACAAAGATCTTAACAAGAATAGCCAGAAAGAAAAGAAACATCAATTAGGCCGACAGCAGATTTCTTGGCTACAGTAGAAGTTAGAAGACAGTGGGTGGAATAGCTTCAGATTGCTGAGAGATAACAACAGCCTATGTATAATTTTATAGCCAGCCAAAGTGTCATCTAGGATTGAGCACCTCAAAACATTTTTAGACAAAAAGAAGGGTAAATTTACTGTAAATAGATTCTCACTAAAGAAAAGTATAAAGGAAGATAGAAAATGAACCCAGTATGAAGACTTGGGATGCAAGGAACAAGAATGACTCAATGATTGATAAACATGTGGTTAAATATAACTAAACATGGTATATATACAATAATAATAAAAAACAACAGTAATAATAACAACAATTCAGGAAGTTAAAACCAAGGTTGAACTAAAAATATAAAACAATTAACATTAAAATTAGGAGAAGGAGTAACCAGAGTTTTACTGTTTTCTATGTTTTCTACTGTATAAGGAGAGTAGAGATATTTATTTTAGATTTTGTTAATCATTCATATCCAAATATTAAGAGGTCAAACTGGCTGTATGACAACACACAGCAAAGAATTAGTTTGAGTGATTTTTTTTTTCTGGACCACATGTGCACTTTCTAGAGAGAAACAGAGAGACGGGGGATGGGGGGGGGAAGCACCCCTCTCCCAATAGAGTGTGGTCGTGCTGCAATCTTTTCTACTCCACTTCTCCATCCTGTTGGGATTTGGGGGAAGTACACACAGCACCTGGTCAGGATTTAAGTTGTATGGTTGGGTTCCAACTGTCTCAACCACTAGCACATGAGACTGGCTCTCAAGTGATTTTAACATACAATATTTTGAACTTATATTCTTAGTGAAATATCTAATAAGAGAAAAGGTAAAAGCTTTCCCACTAAACACAGAAAGAAGACAAAGATGCCCACTTTCTCCACTCCTTTTCAATACAGTACTGGAAGTCCTCACCAACGCAATTAGAAAAGAGGAAAAAATAAAGGGCATTCGAATAGGAAAAGAAGAGGTGAAACTCTCTCTATTTACTAAACAGTCAAGAATTACAATAAAAGTACCAAACTTACCATTCAAAATACATAAATTTTCAATTAGGATTAAAAAATGCAAAATCTAATTATAGGTTGTTTATAAGAGACAAAACTAAATATACAGAGAAATTGAAATTAAATGATTAAGAGTGAACTAAACAAATAGCCCCCAAAAGAAACTTTTAGAGTTATATTAATATTAAATAAAACACACTTCTAGGTGAAAATTATTATTAGAAGAAAAGTTAACTATGTAATAAAATGCAAAAGAAGATACAATTGCTTTACATTTGTGTGACTCTAATAACATAGGCTCAAAACATAGGGGACCAGCAGTTAGTGTAATGGCTATGTCGCTGGACTCCCATGTAGTTGACTGCGGGTCAAGTCCTGGATCAGGCGCTTAAACTCATGCCAGGCGTGTATGCGTGTGTGCCGAAGATCCTGAGGGAGAATGGAGGAGAAAGGATTGTGGCATGGCCATCCCCTCTGGGGGGTGATTTCTCGCTTTCTGTCTCTGTCTCTCTCTCTCTTTCTAGTGAGTGCACACGCCCTATAGCAAAAATCTCTCTCAAAAGAAATACAGAAAAAATAAGACAAATTAAGACTGATTTTATAATGTAATTTCTGAAGATGATCCTGAAAATATGAAAATACTTTATAACTGAGCAGAATATCTATTGTTTTATCTCCCAGATACTTTATTTTTCTGATAATTGTTCCCAGAAATTTGTATAATAAATGGAGTATGATTAATAAATGCTCCAAAATGTGAAATTGTCTAAGTGGAAGCTGGATTGAAAGCAATGAACACTCGTCCCATGTGGGGGTGAGAAACTGATGGTCTGGTTGCTATGGTAGTAAAGTTGTTTAATTATTAGCCATTGTTCTTTGGAACAATGCCAATGGCCCAGAGAGGTTGGAGCTTCAGGCAACTTGGCAACAAAATGTCAGGAAATTAGAGTATGTTGAACTATTAAAGTATTTCTGGTGAGAGGATATCAGAAACAAGGTTTTCTGAATCTGAGACCAGCAGATGGCATTACGGTTATGTCACTAGACTCCCACATAGTCAACCATGGTTTGAGTCCTGGACCCAGTGGCTTAAAACTAATGTCGACAAGTGTGTGTGCATGCTCAAAATCCTGAGAGGCGAATAGAGGAGAAGGGATAGTGGCGTGCCCATCTGCCCTGGAGGGGGAGTGATTTCTCACTTTCTGTCTCTCTGTCTCCAGCAAGCACAAGTGTCCAAAAGGAAAAATCTCTCTCTTAAAAAAAAATAGAGAGAGAAGAAATCTGTTGCCTATAGCTAAAAATTTGAGACAACCAAGGGTCAGATGACTATGTGTCTTGTGGGATGGAAGCTCCTGAAAAATATGCTTATCCTGCTTCTACAGCTGCCTAGGAAACTGTGGAATCTGGCATTTGGAATGGAGATATTAGGGAAGAATCCCAGGAGTTAGTCCTAACCTTACCTCTCCCTTAGGGTAGCGGTAGCGGTATTTATCTTGGTCCCGTAGTGCAAATTCTTCAGGGTAGTGTTGTTGGATTTCTTCGTAAGTCATCTTTTCACAGACACCCTGAGAGAAAGTATTTGGGGTCAAAAGAATTTGAAGGTGAAATTCACACAGCCTTCATTAGAGCTCTGAGACCAACAATTGTGGAGTTGTAAGCACCTGGGTTTTTTTCTGTTTCTTTCTCTTCCTTTCTTTCTCTTTCTGTGGGGATACATTATACATGTAAATATGTATTTGTATAAATTTTCAGGCTTAAGAATTTATAACTATGTTTTCAAGTGTGTGTAAAACATGCTTATGATGTATACATGTGATATGTTTAAGGACTTATGCTTTGTATGTACTTGTCTCAACATACGTATTGCTTGTGTAACTGTGTGTGTATGTAAGGTGTCTGAGCATTTGAGAATGTACCCATATGGATGCCTCTGTGACATGTCTTCCACGTAGGTCCCAATATGCCTGGGCTTGTGTATCCAAAAATGTTTATGTCCCTCATTAAGTCTCTGGTGTATACAGTATGTGTGAGTATCTGTGCATCTATGTGTGAAGTCTGTGCATTTGTGTATTGTAATATGTTTGAGACTATGTATCTCTACTGTGTACATGTCTGTGGTATGCTTCTCTGTGTCCATTTGAGGTACATATATGAAAAGACAACATGGTGTCTATGATAAATGTGTTCATATTTGTGTCTAGGTTTGTATGTCTTTCTGTGCATGTATATTTATGTACATGTATGGTGTAGGTGTCATTGGTACATATATCTAAGAGGTTGTATGCAACTGTGAAGTGCATGTATGTGAGTACAGCCATATCATAATGGGTGTCTGTGACTGGATATGCAAATGTACATATGTATACACACATATAGTAGTGCTCTGCCATTTTATGGCATTTCCCATCTCTCTAACCCTGACCTTCATTTTGAGACAGATAAAGAAGCAAGTATTGGAATCAGCAGTTGGCATAATGGCTATGTTGCTGGACTCCCATGTAGTCGACCGTGGTTTGAGTCCTGGACCCAGTGGCTTAAACTCACACTGGGCATGTGTGCATGTATGCCCAAGATTCTGAGAGGAGAATGGAGGAGAAGGGATTGTGGTGTGGCTATCCTCCCTGGGGTGGGGAGTGATTTCTCGCTTTCTGTCTCTCTGTCTCTCTCTGTCTTTCTGGTGAATGCATGTGCCCTATAGCAAAAACCTCTCAAAAAGAAAGAAAGAAAGAAGCAGGTATCCACAGACATCACATAGGGCAAAAATTAGTTAATTCCTAATGGTTTCATGGTTGGTGGGTTCTGGAAAGATATGCTCTCTTCACTCAAAGAAGGAATTGAGGACTCAGGAAATGAGTTCTTCAAGAGCATAGGAGAGCTTCCAGTCTACCAAGAAATCCTCGGAGAAAAGGCAGCCACTGGTGGTAGTGGGAAGTGATGTTGGGTTTCTAAGGTTTCTTTCTAGGCAGGTAGATTTCAGTAAAACCTTCCTATAGGGAGACAGAAAGCCTGGTTGTTGTCTTTTGGGACCATCTACCAGGCTTCTCTCAGGAGTGAGAAACTGAATCCCCACAACAATCAACAAATAGCTCTGTAGTGCCAAACTTCTCTAACTAACATTGCCCCTGGAAGAAAGCGCACCCTACTGGTATACAAGGCCCTTCCAGTTTGGCTTCAACCATCTGTTCTGAGGTATTATGGGAGCCTGATGCCTGTGAAAATGATCACCGACTCCTCACTGACTTTGAGCAAATTGCCTAACATCCCTGAATTTTATTTCCCTAATCTGCAAACCGAAGAGAGTTACAGTAACTTTATAAAACTGTTTTGAATATTAGGGGTAGCATATGCGACAGATGCTAGTACAGAACATACAGGCACATTTTCAAAACACAGTTTATGTAATTAAGTACTAATATTACCATTAACCATGGGGGGAAAAAAACCAGAAACTTAGTTATTCTTTTCTTTTCTTTTTTTTTTTTTAAGAGGTTTTTGTTATAGGGCACATGCGCTTGCCAGAAAAACAGAGAGATAGAAAGCGAGAAATCACCCCCTGGGGGGATGGTCACGCCACAATCCCTCCTCCTCCATGCTCCTCTTGGGATCTTGGGCATGCACACACACGCGCCCGGCATGAGTTTAAGCCGCCAGGTCTGGGACGCAAACTGCGGTTGACTACGTGAGAGTACAGCAATATAGCCATTACGCTAACTTCTGGTCCCTTTTTTTTTTTTTGA